CTCCTAAGACTTGTGCTCCAGACCCTTCCCTGAACTCGCTCCAGCCCCAAAACTGAACACAGAATTCAAGGTGTGGCCTCACCAGTGCCAAGTACAGGAGGATAATAATTTCAATTACTTCAATCACTACAATTACTGAAATAATGCCATGCTATCCCTTATTTATTTTTGATTCTGACTATACCCCAAGGATCCCTGTAAGAGTTGTGATTCCTACTGTGCAAAGTGCTACTCAAGAAGACATAAAGTCAGCAAGATACAGAAGCTCTAGCTGAAGGATTACAGATGATTTGTGGGCAAAACAAAGCAATGAACTTAAGACGCAGTGGCAGGGGAAGAAAAATAAAGTAAGACTCCAGCAGTGAAATCCTGGTTCTTTTCAAGGCAGTGGAGATTGTGCCCTGGATTGAAACTAAAATTTCCCCTTTCCTGTTTTGTTGGTTGGTTGTTTTTTTTCCACTGTGCCAAGGCCTGCACAGGGGCAAAAGTTATTCCCTCACCCCTCCATATGTGTGCTTGATGCAAGGGAAAAACATATGGGCACCATCTAGACACTTCTTGAGCAAGGACGGGTTTGGGAGCAGTGAGGGTGGAAGGGGAGAGGACAAGGAGGTAGACAAGTCATTGGGAAGGGCAGGCAGATGAAACACACCAGGAGAGGTTAAGTATTGGCAAAGCCAATTACTTGAAGAAATTGCAGTTCTGTGCTTGGCAGAAAGCAGGGTGGCCACTGAAGAGCACCCAGAAAACATCCTTGATTCTCAGAGCTGCCTCCAAGCTCTAATTCACAACTGCAGGCTGAAGCTGCTCTTCTGATGTATTACCAGAAAGCTAAGTTGTGATGCTGAAGCCTCTTGTGTTTGCACCTGAAGGATAACTCATCCAATATCCTCCCAAGCAAATAAAGATATTTTTATGTCTTTGAACAGAAAATTTCTGCCATTGACTTTGACAAGAATGGCACCATGCTACCAAAAAAACATTTCACTCTCGTGCAGGGACATAGAGCAGTTCCTACCTGAAGGATCTAAAATGAAGAGAATGCTTCCAGAGTTTGACAATCTCCTGTGAGAGAGTCATTCATTTCTCAGCAATGGTGTTTTGCTAGAAATTAATATAGGTCCATAGAAAAAATGTTACTCTGGATATGCCTGTATTGGGTGATGAGAGATGCAGAAAGTTCAGAAGTGATGATGGACTTCTCAAGCTGACAACCTAATCCTTTTCAAATGGCTCCTAACTGTGGCTACAAATGTACTGTAAGCCATGCTGTAAATTGCATTTCTCAAACGTGGGCAGGTGTGTGCTTTTCTGTCAGCAAGTTATGCTGGAGAGTAAAAACTAATCAGCACTTAGGAAAACTGTTGTCTCACTTACATGTGCAGGGTTTCTCCATATGCTGCCAATGGACATCCATCACTCTGGAGATCCACTACCTCCCTGAGTTTACATAAGCTGCTGTCTGGGAACATTCGTTTAAAACACAACCACGTGTACTTCTGCTACCCGAGTTGGTATGTGCTTGTTTTCTCTCTCTGGGAATAAAGAGGAGGGTTAAGAACCTCTCTGAAAGATCTCAGCTAGAACAGGTGAGCTCAAAGCACTTAGGACTCGGACCTTAACTTCCAGGAATGAAATCAAAACATGGCTGATGTAATGGGAGTAACAGTAAGCTGCTAAGTGACCACAAGAGCACCCACCAGATCTCTGGGGACAACAGAGGGGCTGCCTGAGGCTTGAAGAACTCTTCACACCTTCCCTGCAGCCACCACAGCTGACCTTCACCCAATGTTCACCTCTGAGATGGACTGGAGGACATCTGAGAGGCCAGATTGGAGGCTGACCAGGAGAGAAGACAAAATGAGGTTAAGAGATGGAGGGTTGACAGTAAAAGCCACCAGGCTTCCCCTTTTTCCTGTGTACTGCTCCACAGGCACCAAAATCCTGAACATGGGGCAGAAACCTACATATTAAACATGTTTAATTTGGTTCTTGATTTACATTAGGGAGACTGTCCCAGGCAAAACAAAAGGATGAGCTCTGCACAGGCAGCTGGGGCTCAAAATCCACAAAGATCTCCCAGGACCCATAATTGAGCAATGAAGATGCTACATGGGGTTACTAATCCATCTGTCAGGGGCACAAGGTTTTACAAAAGGATGCAAGAAAAGCTACTAATGGATTTAGATGTACAAGTGAACTTCAGCATTTCATTTGTACATGTTAATGATTGAGAAGCACCAGCATAAACATTTGGACAGCTGTCTAAGCTAAATGGTTTGTTGTCATGTTTATATTGTGCCCTTACGATTGTCAGAGGTACAAGATCAGTTCACTAGAAGAAAGCTAAATATTCAAGAAATGGGCCTTTATAACTAGTCATTTACACTGAGATGATCACAGTTACTGTCAGTGGTGAGAATAAATAAAAGATTAAACTGCATTTGGGTAAATCACCTCAAACCTAAACATAAATCTAAAAACAAGACAGGAAAATTCTCCCAAATGGAAACTTCTCCCATATTTTAATATCCTAGAAATAAAATAAAAAAAAATATATATATAGCTAGAAAAAAAACACAACACCTTAATTTGTGAAAGATCAGGCAGTTGAAATTTCAGCAAGATGAGTCAGTTCTGATAATGCTACTAGAGCAAGGATGAATGTTTATGTGACACACAGACACTGCAAAACATTTTTAAATAGAGCCTCTTTTCAGCTGCAAACAAGCAGTGACAAACACTTCTACAGATGATATTTGGGACCTACACATTGGCAAAAGTAAATCAAATTATAAAAGGTTTATGAGCCCAAATAACAGTGTCTCCATTTCCACTGAAAGCACTTTGGTATTGAGACAAAATGCCAGAAAAAGCCTTTCTTCTTTGGCAAAGACAGACTTCAATGTTGTGGAATGGACTTGAGGAAGTTTGCAAACTTTTTAAATTTGCAGGACTATGCAAGAGCTGAGCTCAGAGCTTGTACAGCCTATGAACTGTTCAGAATTTCTTCTGCAGAGACAACAGATGAATCTTTGTTCTGTTGAAACAAACAGCAAAATGTTTGGCTATTTCAGTGAAGTCAGGATTTCATTTCATAGCAGCAGTTGCCTGAATCTTACAAGTTCTGTCTTTCCTATAGCATTTATCAACTCATACTTCAGCTTTTCCCCTCAAAACACTCCTGGAAGCGTGCAATAATCTTTCATTGCCTAAATCTCTCCCCCTACTTAAGAAGAGAAAAAGGGTTTCAGTATTTATTCTAGGTAAACACATGGATCTCCAAAAAATCAGTTTCTGTCCTACTCCACAATCTATCAAGCTCTCAGCAAAACACAGGTCCAGGTCAAAAGCTTGACAGTCAGTGAAATCTGACAGATCCCACCTTAGTCCTGGAATGAAGGTTACCATGTGCAAGACTGGCATTCCACCATCTGCTTTGTTTCTTGGAGAATACAGTTTTGCTTTCCACCCAACACCCCTCAGCTTTTGAACACAGCAAACAATGGACCAGATTGCTCCAACTCCTCTAAATTCTGTTTCTTTGTCCTTTAATCCACTCTCAGGGTGCATTTATTTCTTTCAGGCAAAGGGACCGGTACATTCACATACAAAGAATACTTTAATGAGATGATCTATCTTCACTGAAATCTCTCCAAAGAGAGTCCTCATAACATTCTCCTTACTGAAATCTCTCCAAAAAGGGTCCTCATAACTGGCACGTAAGAACCAGACCATGTGTCAGAATTGCACCTAGGTGGGACATTTCACCACCTGGCAAGATAGCAGTCAAAAAGGGAGCACTGAAGCATAATTGTGGAATTATGGGCAAGAAGAAACTGCTATTTAGGCCGTTCACAAGATCAGCCTCTTCACATTCCTCAGCAAAAGAAAGAACAGATTGAGCAGGATGGCCCTCAAGAAGATGTTCCTCATATTTGTTTTGCCTTGTGCCTTGAACATTAAACTGTCTTGCCTGTCTGAGTAACTACAGATACAAAGAGATGAACACAAGCCACACACAATACAAGAAAGGAACTAAATACTACTTCAATGAAAAAGTACCTGGGAAAAAGTGAATTGTGATCTATGTTACTGAGAACTTGGGAAGTACACAGAACTCTATGGAAGTATTTTCATTGTCAGAAAAGAATACAAATTGGCCAAGTGTATAATAACATCAGGCAAACAGCCATGAAGAGTTCTAGGCTGTTGCTGGTTATGGAGGTATGACTCTTAAAGCCACGTGATGGGGGAGAACAAACTGGTGCATACTTATTGCTTTTACAGACCTCCTTCTTCCCAGTGAAATACTACTTTCCTTAGCAGAATTGAAAACATGCAATCAAACTCATTAGAATGACAGATGCAGGTTGTGTAAAGGGCAATGGTTATTGAAAATCTGCTCTTATTTTTAAGATATCTCCCAGAAGGATTTCTTCACAACATTCCCAATAGGAGCTCAACCACCACAATTAAACCCCATACTTCTCATTAGTTAAAACAGTCATCTCCCTAGGAATTCAACTTCTGTCATTCTAGACAGCCTTATCACAGCTGAATAGAAAATATTAAATGTAGGTTGCAATCTAATTCCTTGCATTCTCCTACAACTCTGAGTACCATGCCAACAATTTTTGCCATCCAAATTGCACCAGGGACTCTTAAAAAGCACTTGGTATTAGTTTACCACCATTTTTCCAGACACTGCTGGCAGTCCCACCCGAGTCATGCCAGGAGGGAAGGAGGTTGTCCAGAGTAGGAGACTGAGAGGGCTGGCATTTCACACAGGGGGCTTCTGACTGATCACTGGCCCTCACTTGGTGCATGAGGAGGTGGCAGCTTTCACATCAGCCAGACCTGCACCCAAGCTAAAATGGTCTTCAGCTTTAGCACCAATTAACAGCAGTAAGGAAATACCGAGTGCCTTTGAGAGTCCTCAACAGCAAGACAATTCCTATAGGATACTAATATCAAATACTGAAGAAATTATTTCATACCTTAAATTCCTCCAAGATTTTGTAGTTTTTCCCATGATATTCACAAAAGTTCTTCACTTCTTTGCATTCTGGACAACATCCATTGTGTTCCACTTTTGTGCACTTTGGGTGGATTTTAGGGCATTCCGGTTGATCGCAAACAGGTCCATCCTCAGTACAGACACAGGGACAGTTGGAATGTCCCGGGAAAAAACGTTCTCCCAGTTTGTACACAAAGCCACTGTCATCCACACAGCCCTTCCCTCGGTAGTCATCAAAGATCAGATTGTCATTACTGGAGGTCTGGTCCCCTTCATCAGCAGGGTAGTCTTCATGATTGATGGCAGCTGGAGTGACCAAAGCAGGGATTACAACCAGAAGCATCCAGGCTTCATGGATATGAAGAGCCATCCCCCTCCTCAGCTTCTCCATGGGATCTCAATGCCAGATAGAAACAGCTGCTTCCATAGGGAGACCGGTGTTGGGATCTGAAAGCAAACATTTTTAAATGAGAACAAACTCAGAATTCAAAGAAATATTGATTTTTAAAGGCCATACTTTCAACTAGCACATTAGAATAAATCGGTCCTTTCAAGCTGCACAGATAACTGCCACCATTTCATTTGAAATGAGCCTCTTCTCAATTCTTGTTAAAGTGAATAATGCCTATGAAACACAAACAAACACACATGCCTGTAAGCATGTGCCCCCAAAATACCTCTAAAGAAATAGTATCTCTCAGAATCCTCTGGTTCTTACTTTCCTCATTTTTGCAGTCGAGTTTTCTGACGCACCAGAAATTTACCTAGCTTCCTGAAACTGCTTGTTGATGGGCAGCTCAGAGGGACTTGAACCCGAGTGCAGGCATGGCCTTAACCTCCTACTGTAGCCATTGTCCCTCTGTGCTATGTATGGTGTACAGCCCACGTCATTAAACAGAGGTGGAAAAACTTGAGTTGAAAAGTGAGCTAGTTATACTCTGTGGGTAGAGCTGCATCCAGCACAAAAGCTGGTGCTGGTTTATAATTGGTCTGCGAGAGGTGAAATAGTACAGAATTTTATAGACAGCATTTCTGAAGAGAGGAGGGGCTACCAACACAGCACAGCCTGCGGCAGGACTATATAATCCCAATGGAAGCAAAGATGTAAATCACCTTCTCTGCTACTTAGCACTTCAGTAATTCCCGAAGAGAAACGCAGGGAGCAGGATGTTAAACGCCTGTGTAACACACGGACCTGCTGAAATGTGTTTTTCTGATTAGACTGGAGCCTTTCTAAAACCTCGGGATGCAGCACGGCCTGACCTCTGGAGACTTCTTGAGGGGTAAAGCCAAGGGCCAACCCAGAGAGGAAGAGGAGCTTTGCGCTGCCCCCAGGGAGTCAGCTCCAGGCAAAGGCTCCCTCCAGGTGTGCTCTGGGCTGCCCGTGGTGCCACATCACTGCCACCAACACACCATCCTGCCTGCACACCAGCCAGGACAAGCCCAGCAGTGAAACAGTTTCTGACCTCTCTTAAAACGAGCAGGTGAAGTATTACGGGAAACTTTTAAATGAGGTGAAATATTAGCACGGCGGGGCTCGAACATGACAGAGACTGTTGCCAGCACACACCAAAAATGGACTGTTTGGATGTGTTTGTTCCTCCCCTGTTCCCACACAGTGCACACTCAGATACACACAGTATTGACAAACATGCATTAACCTACCCACCCAGGCAAACAGACTTCCCCCCACCCACCCCTCTTGGGGGGTATTTTTACATATCAGGATTCTGGTGGACTGCAGATGTTCAGCAATTAATTCCACCTTAACTGAAGCAAAAAAAGCAGTGGCAGGAGGGGAAAGCTTCAATCCCAGAGAAACAGCTAAGGGATCCTGTTGACAAAGCAGTTTTTCCAAAGCCACAACAGAGGGAGACACCGGATATTACACAAGCTTTATCAAATTCAAAAGATATCTTCTTAATTGAAGTACTAGCTACGTTTCCATCAGAAGGACTATGCATTGTTATGACTATCAGCAATATCTATTGAAACGTGTTGTTTGGGAATCAGGTGATTCATGCAGATAGGGCTGCTTTTCAGGATGGATCTACAGAATCTTGCCCACCTAAATGCTACAGGTAGGCTGCAATACTGCAGATTGGTGGGCATTTAGGGGGAAAATTTTTTTTAAAAAGGCAAAAGTAGTAATTAATGTTTGAGGAAATTGAGAGAATTTGTTGACATTTGATGAGGAAGCTCTCAAAATTATATAGAAGCAAAAAAGTTCTCAAAGATGTTTAAATAAGAGCAGTATCTTTGGCTACAGCCTCTGAGATGTCCCACAGCAACTCCTGAGCTCGGCAGAGATCCTGGGAATCAGACAGACTGCAGACGTCGTGCACAGCCAGATTTCAACAAGTAAACAAATGCTGCTCAGAATTAGTTCACAGCTGAACTTTCTCATCATTTCTCATCACCAGAGGCCAGGATGGTAGGTAAGTCTCCGAGTAAAATGTTTCCATCCTCCTTCCCTCACCCCAAGTGAATAATTCCCACTTACCTAATCAGGCTCGATCTGAAAGCCAAAAGGGGTCACAGGACTAAAAGGTTAGAGCCAGATCACTGCAAGCAGTTCCTCCTAATCACATTTTCAGTGTTGACTCACGGACAATCCCCTTCTCCTCCACCTCCCATGGCCAAACACGGGGAAGCGGCAGCCCAGCAAGCCCAACATGAGCACGAAGCTGTCACCCAGCGCTCGGGATTCAGGGCGAGCAGCGGCGAGGCGGTCCAGAGGCAGGGATGCCGCGGAGAAACCCCGATGCCAGCAGCACAGTCATCGCGGCGAACTTGGGCTGGATCTCCTCAGGTCTTTGGGCGGGGGAAAGAAGCGGGGGGTGGG